TCACCGACCTCTAGCACTCAAACATGAAAATAGCCCAAGAATAAACAACGGATTAAACGAACTTTTCATTACCATTTGGGAAAGAAAAACTACACATTTTCCTGGTATATATTCACCCACATAATGGAATAGATGATACTATATTTATAAAAGCTTCACTATACGATAACGCCATAATAATCGGAGATTTTAATATAAATAAATCGAAAAACAAACATCTAACAAACTTTCTCAATCAGACTGGATACAAGAAAATAGCTACACCACCTACATTTATCATGCAGGCCAATACCAACACCACGCCTGATTTAGTAATAGGCCCGCCAAGCATATATCCTCTCATTCATGCTCTAGAATTAATAACACATCTTGGTTCAGACCATCTCAGCATAGATTTTCAACTAAACACCCCACCGTACTCCCCAATAGTAGACATTCCACTACACATTAATATTAATTTATGCAATATCGAAAACCTAAACAATGACATGACAAATTACATCCATAACAATCCTGCTATTAACCCAGAGAACATATCATCGTTCATTAAACACCTAATGAAATCACTAGTATATCACTCCCCAAAAAGCTACTCCTTCCCACTCCCTCCTTATATCCTAACGTTAGTTAAATGTAAAAGATGCATATACCGAGAGTTCAGAAGAAATGAAGATGTTGACACCCAGAAGAGAATTAATGAGCTTAGTAAAAGTATTCACAAGTTAATACGGCAATTCAGAGCTTCCAGCTTGTAATAATATCAACCAAAGTAAGGGAAAATCTTTTTGGAATGAAGTCAAAAAACTATCAAAATACAAAAAGAACATCCAGCCCGTTTATCTTATAGATACATCTGATGGCTCCAGCTGTAACACTGATTTCGAAAAGGCACAAGTGCATGCTAAATAGCTCGAAGAATGTTTTAAAAAATCCGGAAATCACTTATTCGATAACGACCATCACGATCAGATTAAAGACTGCTTTACAGCGTTTAACAACACAGCATAAATTTCTAGTAACAGTTTGAATGTCGACGAAGATGAATACTGGGAATTGTTAAGCAAGGGAAAAAATACTTCGGCCGGCTATGATAAGCTGACACGAACAATTTTTAGACAATTACATCCTAACATTCATGCACATGTAAGAGACATATTCAACATTTGTTTCCAAAATCAATACTTTCCTAATGAATGGAAAATTTGGACAGTAGTATGCATCCCAAAAAAAGACTCGAACCTACACACGCCTTCTGGTTATCGTCCTATAACATTGCTTCATGTCATCGGGAAAATGTTTGAAAATCTTATTAAAAAACGACTGCTAATGTATGTTGAAGATAAGATTCCACATCATCAGTTTGGATTTAAATCAGGAAAATCGACTATACATCCACTAGCTATTCTTACTTCAAATCTACACACTTGTCGCGTGCAGCAAATAAAATCAGCAGCTCTTTTTCTAGACATACAAAAAGCGTTTGATTCTGTGTGGCATAATGGTCTGATTTACAAATTACACAAATTAAACGTTCCACCTGAGTTACTTAAATTACTGTCAAATTTTTTAAAAGATCGTTCTTTTCGAGTAAGAACAAATGAATCCTTCTCGAATGAATTCCAAATTCAACATACCACAGGGTTCGCCGCTCTCACCAATACTATACAATGCTTTTGCATATGACATGATGAAAATTTCCGCGATGTCTACCGATTTATATATGCTGCAATATGCCGACGACACTGCACTAATAGCGCATGGGAAGAAACTTGAAACAGCCAAAGTATCATTACAAGAAGCAACTAACAAAATAATTAAATGGTGCTCTTCCTGAAAAATTAACATAAACGCTTCAAAAACACAATTTCTAATATCATTCCATAGGATAACAGATAATTCTCCAACAGTATACATCAGACAGACACAAATCAGTCCTTCAACGAACATCAAATACCTTTGACAGCAAAGTGAAGTTCCACATACACACAAAAAAGGCTAAAATGAAAGCAATCACCAGAGCAAAGCTGTTTAGAAGTTTAACCTACGAGAAAGAAGGCATTAACATCAAATGCGCTGCGCATATTTATAAGACTATTTGTAGACCAATTTTAGAGTATGCAAGCCTATTGACCTATGATAGCAAGCGATGCACACTAAGGAGTTTGGAAGTTGGCGAAAGAACAAGTCTCCGAGCAGTAACGAAAATTAGACACCCGGGGCGTGATGGCTCAGCGTGTTAGCTCTCGGGTTAACACGCAGACGTCCCGGGTTCAAACCCCGGTGAAAGCACGTTGAGTCGCCCCCCGTCCTTCGGAGGGGACGTTAAGCCGTCGGTCCCGGCTACCAGTCGTGAATCTCTGGTTGTCGTTAGCAGCACGCATGTGTGTGAGACTTGACTTTATAGGGACGAATGCGCGTGAGCGCTCTCTGACCCCACGCCCACGCTGATAGGACCTGCGCCAGGCCGTTGAGCGAGTCGTGCGCTCCGCTAGGTCGTTGAGTGAGCCGTTTGCTCCTCCGCCAGGACGTTGAGCTAGCCGTGCGATCCGCCAGGTCGTTGAGCTAGCAGTGCGCTCCGCCAGGCTGCGGCCGAGATGAAGTGTGGGTCGAGGGGTTGGGGCGGCGGTAACTCGTCATTGGCAACGAGTAAGCGGTATCGTCACCTAACGAGATACCTTCTCATACCACCTCAAGCCTCCAAGGGAGAATGCACAAGGGGCCCACTGGGGCCTAAGTGCGAGCGTAAAAATTACGCACTCCACGCTTACATACATAGACACCCGATGTATGCTGTCGGCATTAAAATATTTTCTCCTGTTGCTGCTGTTTCAAACTGTGTTAACCTTCAGAATGACCTGAACAGATTTTATGATTTTTGTGAGATTAATAATTTGTCACTTAACATATCGAAGTGTCGGACTGTTACTTTTACGAGAAAAAAACAGTTCTTTAAATTTGTTTATCGGTGCGGAACATGCTTACTGGTTCGTGTTGACACTATTAAAGACTTGGGCATTACTTTAGATAGCAAACTACTGTTTGATCAACACGTTGACGCAGTGGTGGCCAGAGCTAATAGGATGCTGGGATTTGTAATGCGCTCTTCTGAATCGTTTTGCTGCCCTAGACCTATTATTTCTTTATACAATGCTTTCGTTAATAGTATTTTATCGTTCGGCAGTACAGCTTGGAACCCTCAATACGACGCATACATTAACAGAATAGAGAGGATTCAGATAAGGTTTCTGAAGTATCTCTCGTATAAATTCCGGCATCCTTATACAGATTACCAATCTGCCTGTTAAATGTATCATATGCCCACACTTCAGCAGCGCAGAACTTGCAGTGATGCCTGCTTTCTGTTCAGGTTGGTCAGAGGTTATTGTGATTCTTCCTATCTTCTTTCACGCATTGATTTGAATGTTCCCCCCTTGTCGGCTGCGCTATGACTTTCTGTTCTATGCGCCGACTGCCCGGACAAATTCGTATAGAAATTTCCTAATACTTCGCATGGAGAGGACAGTGGACCGTCTTGGGTTAGACATATTCGCCGTCGCACAACTTCAAACAAATTATTCGTAATGCCGTGCCCGCCCTACCAGTTGTATGATTTTAAGTACATTATCTCGTTGCAGCGGCTTAAGTTCTGCCTTGAATTGATTTGATCACATATGATTAATAAAACAAATGTTGTGCACTTATGAACGTATTAATTTATATTTTCTCTACCGGTTTCGCAGTTTATAAAGTAACTGCATCATAAGGAGAATCCTTAAAATACAAAAATTAAAACTTATTAAATTATAAGGTTCTTTCTAGTTGTTAGGATATTACAATAAATCAATTAAGTAAATTTATAATATTGGAGTAAACTTACGTCAAAACAAAGACAGATTAACAACCAATAGATACATTAAACAGTTAAATCACAAGAAAAATATAAAACGATTAAAGATCGATTGTAAGAGACGCGTGTAGCTGCAAGAGACCGTTAAACAGGAAGTAGGGTTAAGAGGTCCGGAAATTTGGTGGAAAAGTATAAGTTTAAGTTGGTACTTATTGGTACATTTGAAATTATTAATATAATAATATTAATCTAATTAGGGTGGAAAAATATGTAGGATTGGAGAGGGAAGGTGGTGGTAAACAAGGAACTCAAAAGTTGTAAAGTTTAAACATTACCAATTACCATTACCATTGGAAAAATGTATATGTGAATGCATAGTAGGAAGTTATACAGTTGAACTTCCGGTGGTAACGAATAAAATTTAAGTTGGTACCTATTGATACACTCAAAATTCAAATTATTAAATTTGAACAAAAATGAAAAAATAATGGGTAAGGTGGGTAAGGGAGGGGAAAGGATAAGGGGAACGGTAGTCAAAGGAACTCAAAAGTTGTAAAGTTTAAACATTACATATTTAAAAATTCTCGTGCATTTGAGTATATAAGGAAAGGTAAATTTTGGAAAAGAAGGGGGTGTGTTAAAATGCAATAAATTGGCATCTAATGAGGGATGATACAACGATTGGAAAAATATAATGTGATTGCATAGTATGAAGTTATGATGAAATTCCATTCGTATTGAATAGGACTTAAGTTGGTATCCATTGATACACTCAATATTCAAATTTTTTAAATTTAACTATAATGAAAAATGAGTAAGCTGGGTGGGGGGATATTCATGGTCAAAAAACAAATTCTGACATTAATGAATCGTTAGTAGATCAGACGACTGTTGGTAGTATTAGTGTTGATGCCACTCCTGCTCCTGTTAAAACTATTTCCAGTTCTAGAACAACAGAATCATGTAACCCTTTAAATTCAACTGGTGGGTTTGAATTACTTTCAGACGCTTATGATCCTGCTCTATGATCAGATCTACTAACTCACTCCCAATTTGATGAAATAGTAGAAAAGGGCCCGTTACAAGTAAAAAATTTTAATTTTCCGAAAAATGCAGAAAAAAGACTTTTTCTGCCAATTATTACAAACGAACTATGAATAATGGAGAACAAGTGCACAGACGTTGGCTAGTTTACAGCAAAAGTACTGATAAAGCATTTTGTTTTTGCTGCAAATTGTATGGAAATGACACTGGATCTCAATTAGCTAACGATGGGTATAGTGATTGGGCACACTTGGGCAGAACTCTTGATAATCACGAAAAATCAGCAATTCATGGTCAGAATGTTGGAAAGTGGACGGATTGTGAGATACGTTTAGCTGAAGCGTCCACTATTGATAAGCAACATATAAAATTGATAAATAAAGAAAAGGAACATTGGCGTGAAGTTCTTAACAGCATTGTTAGTGGCATTAAATATTTAGCACAGCACAATATTGCTTTCAGGTGATCGAACTCTAAACTGTATGAGCCAAACAATATCAACTTTTTAGGACTTATTGAAATGATGGCTACTTTTGATCCAGTCATGCAAGAGCATTTGGGGCGAATCAGATCGTCTGAGATTATCTAGGACCAAATAATCAAAATGTTTTGATTAAATAAACTGTTATCTGAAAAGGTGAAAGAGAAAATTGTTTCAGACATTAAGGCAGCTAAGTATTTTTCTGTACTACTACTATACTGCACTCCCGATCTCAGCCACCAAGAGCAGTTGTCTTTGGTGATACGTTTTGTTAAGACTGAAAACAATGTAAGTGCTACTTCTACTAAGAATAAAAGTGGGGGTGTGACTGTTGAAGAGCATTTTCTCGAATTCTTAGACGTTAAGTCAACAACAGGCAAAAATTTAACTGATATTTCATTAGAGGACTAGATAAAATAGGCTTAGAGATTAAGGACTGCAGAGGCCAAGGATATGACAATGGATCAAATATGAAAGGGTCGTATTCTGGAGTTCAAGCTCGAATTTTACAAATAAATCAAAGGGCGTTTTACATGCCTTGTGCAAGTCACAGTTTGAATCCCTTGATTTGTGATGCCGCAAAATATTCACCTAACGCTATAACTTTTTTCGGAATTGTTCAGAGAATTTATGTTGGTTTTTCAGCATCAACGAAACGGTGGGACATTTTAAAAAAACATGATGGGAAAGTAAAATTGAAAGTGTAAAAGCACTTCGTTACCAGATTAAGAAAGTACACGATGCTTTAGATGAAGTAGTAGAAGCGACTGACGACCCTAAAGCAAAAAGTGAAGCTCGATCCCTTGTCAATGAACTAATGAGCTATGAGTTTTTAGTAGCATTAGCTATTTGGTATGACGTGCTCTTTGCTGTAAATAGTGTAAGCCAAACCTTGCAGGCTGAAAAAATGCACTTACGCATGGCATCGCAGTTGCTTCAAGGACTGGTACAGTTTTTAGAGCAATTTAGAAATGAAGGTTTTGTTGCAGCAATAATGGTTGCAAGAGAAATGAGCAAACTTTTGGACATAGAGCCAAAGTTTCAAATAGTCAAGCAAAGGAAGAAACGAAAAATGTTTGATTACGAAGGAGATGAGCATGATGTAGAATCTGCTGAACAAATTTTCAAAATTGAGTATTTTTATTATATTGTAAATTGTATATTACAGTCCCTTTCAAGAAGATTTCAACAAGTTGCCAGTTACAACAGTATGTTTGGATTCTTGTACAGTGTAAAAGAATTAAAATCAATTGAACAAGGTCAATTGTTGGAAAAGTGCAAAGCCCTAGAAGCGTCTTTAAGTTTTGAAGAGCAAAAGGATATCTGTGGAAATGATTTGTTCACAGAACTAAAAGTTCTTCGTGGCCTACTTCCCGCTGAAGTTGAAACAGCTGCTGGTGTGTTAAGATTTATGAACAGAATACAAAATCCATATCCCAACACATTCATTGCCTACAGAATTTTACTTACTATTCCAGTGACTGTTGCTAGCGCAGAAAGAAGTTTTTCCCGGCTAAAGTTAACAAAGACTTACCTAAGATCATCAATGAGCCAAGAAAGGTTAACGTCTTTGGCAACATTATCGATAGAAGCAGACACCACGGCCAAAGTCAATTTTGGCAAGAAAAATTAACCTTTCAGCGGGTTTAAATTTGTTTTAGTTTAGTATTAATAAGAATAAAAAAAAATTAATGACAAAATATTTAGCTTGGTAGCGATATTGTGGTGGAGGTGGGAAAGAACGATGATGGTAGGTAGTTTATCAAAAGAAGAGTTTGCCCGCATTTGCTAAAGACGGCTCTGATGTTGTTTATTAAAAATGAGATGTCTTCCAAAGTTTGATTTTTCCTTATTTTTGTGTTCCCTAATTCTAGTTCTTAGGGGTCTCCCTGTCTCTCCGATGTAGGTGGCTTGACATGTATTGCAGGTTAATCTATATATACCATTGTCATCTAATTTATCTGTCTTTCCTTTAGCATTTGATAAAAGTTTATATATGGTATTTTTATTTTTGAAGGTCAAATTAATGTCATATTCTTTCAGTTTTGCCTTTATTTTATTGGTTAAATTACCTTGGAATGTTATGGCTCTATATTTTTGTTTTTTAGGTGTATTTTGGATTGTTAAAGTTGTGTTTTGTGTTGTGAAAATTTTGGTTTTTATCTTGTTAAGTACTTTTTGGGTGAAATTCACAGGATATTTGTTATTTACAGCTATCTGTTCGATGATTTTGAGTTCTCTCTCTCTCTGAGTTCTGAGATAAAGTAGTATTCGTTGTTAAATGTACAATAATTTTTAGTGACTATGTGTTTTAAAATATAATTTAAATGTCGTTTTATTATCTGAAAATGAGTTAAACATTTTTGACGTTATTTCTAATGTTTGGTCAATTGGAACATTTGAGTAAAGGTTAGTGACGTCGAAGGAAACAAGAATTTTGTCTTTTATTTTTAAATCTTTAGTCATTTCTATGAATTATCAATGGAGTACTTCGGAGCAAAGTTAATATCCTTAATTATGTTTAACATAAAATTAAGAAGTTTTGGGGTACGTGAGTTATTAAAGGTGGTAATAGGTCTAATGGGCATGTTCATTTTGTGAAGCTTTGGGAGGGAGTATAATTTTGGAATGGTGGGGTTCATACTTATGAAGAATGAGCTGTTAAAATATTTGTAATTGGAATTCTTTAAAAATGTAGTATACTCAACTAGGGTCTCCTTACATTTATTAATCATCTGTTTTGTATTTCTAACGATTTTCTCCAACGGATTATTTTTAAGCTTCATATAATTGTTATGTTGTAAAAATTCATATGTTTTTTCCAAATATGTATTGTTATCTAATATAACTACACCCGCACCCATGTCTGCTTTTACGAAAATACCGTTTCCTTCTGTTAATTTTCTCTTTATAGATTTTATATTTTTCCAATCTTCTTTTTGGTTACTATTGTTGTTACTGAATTTTAATTCTTTATTTTTATTTTTATTATTTAAGAAATGAATAAGGTCATTCTTTATATCATTGTAGTTGGGATGGTTTTTTATAACGATATCAAAATCAATAGCTATTTGGGAAATTTTTATTTTAGGTGAAAGGGCGAATTTATGACCTTTGTTGAGAAAATTCATTTCTTTTTCATTAAATATGATATTGGTTAGATTTCTGACTTGTGGTATATTACCCTGAGTTTTCGAGTCTTCTTCCTTGTTTGCTCTACTTTCCTTCCTCAAGTTAATGAGTGTTCTGTTCTTTTTCCTAAGATCATCTTCTTTTGAGATGATGGCATCGCTTTTGGCTTGCCTTATGATTTCTTCCAACTCTAGAAAGTATAGTTGGTCTCGTAGGATTCGTTGCGTTTTAGCAAGCCCTTCATATATTTTGCTTAATGCTTTGAAATGTCTTCTTTTTTCATCACGTAGGATCTTTCCTACTAGACGTTTTCTTGTTGATACCTTAAGCTTTGAACATCTTATTCTTGCGAAGTTAGGTGTAATTTCTTCTTTTATACATTCATTTATAAAGTTGATATGGTTTTTCGTGATTTCGAGTTTCCTCTACAGCTTCTTGAATCCATGGATGATGTTAGATGTACGAACTTGACAATTAAGAATTTTATCCATGTTGCAAGTTGGGAATATATTAAAAAATATACTAGAAAAAACTTCTTTAACTTGCTTTTATTTAAATATATATCGAGACTAGTTTCGAGGTTACACCCTCATCTTCAGTCGAAACTAGCAAAAACGAAAAAACGAAAAACACATTAAAATATTAAAATAAAACAGTTTAAAAAACTTACAGTCAAAATTTTCAAAGCAATTTATATATGAAAAGCGAAAAACTCAAACGAAAAACATTATCTCGAAGAAAACTTCTTTAAAAGGTATGAACACGTTAAAATTTAAAAATAAATAATCACAACAAAAACATTCACAATATAACTCAAAATGTAAAATTTGCGTACATCAAAATATATTAAAAAAATTTTGTCAAAAACGAAAAACGAAAAGATGTCTTCTTGTTATATTAACTTGTTATATAATTGTTTTATGATCTTTCAGGGACATAAAAATAGGTTTATTATACAATTGAAGCTGATCATTTAATAATTCGCAGTTATTGTTATTTTTGTGTTTGTTAATTTCTAAAATTTCGAGCAGATCTATCCTTTTTCACATTTATGTAGAAGTTTTGTATTATTATAGTCTATCTTGCGGCCTGTTTCAATGTGATGTTTAAATACATTGGAATTATCTTTAGTTTTATGTTCTCGTATAGGAGTCTCCAATTTACGCCCTGTTTGCCCAATATAAATTGAGTTACAATTGGAACATCCAATTGAATATATGCCACATTCTTTGAAAATATCTTTATTCTTCATATGGTAGTTGGATAAAAGTCGAAGAATCGTGTTATTATTCGAAAATGCCAAGGAAAGATTATATTTAGAAAAAATTTGTTTTGCCTGAAAAGTGACATTATTGAAAGGAATGGGCTTATATTTCAAATTATTTAGAATTTTAACATAAAGTGGGTCTCTTTGTTGCTGTATTTTATGAAATAATCTATTAATGATATGTTTTGGGAATTTATTATTATATGCAAGTAGAACACATTTTTAATGTGTTTTTCGTTTTTGCTAGTTTCGACTGAAGATGAGGGTGTAACCTCGAAACTAGTCTCGATATATATTTAAATAAAAGCAAGTTAAAGAAGTTTTTTCTAGTATATTTTTTAGTATATTTTTTAATATTAATTAATTAATTTATCGATTTTCAATTTTGTGTTACAATAATGTTAATTTATTGTACATAAAATGTATTACAGTTGAGTAGCTTTTATGTGGGACTGTGTCCTGTTGCTACCCCCGTGTGTGTAAATAAATAAATAAATAAATAAAATAAATCCATTGTCACTCTATAAACACAAATCCTTATGATTTGTTTGCGATTTAATTTGCCAGCTTATTGGTAAGCACAAGTTCGTCGTTGTTTGGACCATCCTATTCCGAGGCTGATTGTCGAATCTGTCATAACTTTTCACGTCGGGCATGTTGCTTGCCTGGTGTTTGCTGGACTATTCGATCCGCCCAGTCTCTACCGCAGGAGTAGTACAAAATGTAGATATTTACCTTAATTATCCTTTTATTCACTGTATGCTTAGGTACTCCAATATTCTATATCTTTCATCTTGGTTTCCGTTAACACAGCTATTTAGACTTCCTTCTTCTGTAGCGTGTCAACGCTTTTTTTTATTTTTGTTCTCAATCTTGGCACTACTAGAAAAAAGCGAAAGATGGAACTTTCGCTTTTTTCTATCCTTCCGAGGATGGTTTTTGATCTTTTTGACATCACTTCGACCCGCAATGACAAAGTGTTTTAAAATAATTACTTCCCTAACTTTCCATTTATTGTTTGTACCGTTAGTTCAAATAGTAAGCTTATGACTAAAGGTAAACAAAGGGTCACTACATCGTAACCCACTTCCTATAATTTGAAACAGCTTTGATATATGATAGATCCAATAATTATAGGGCACCATTAAGATGTCAAAAGGAGAGCTGTACAAGCGTATACGTTCGAGTAACATATGTGGTCGTGTAAATTCCATCCGAAACAGCCCGTGGCGTGAACTGGATCGCATCGGCTGGATACATATTCCACGTAGTTGTCGTCGTTGTAGTTGTATCAATGTACCCCGGAGCAGCTAATTGTTTAACCCCTACCCTTGACAATTAACGGACGGACGTGTTTCTCCTGCACAATGTATCAAAAGGTTTCACGACGCTGAGCGCTCGAACGTTAATAGTTTTAGAAGTGTATTTTCCGCCATCTCTTCCAAACCGGATCTTCTCCTGTTACATCCGATCCGGGCAAGCTCTCAAAAAGACCGAAGTGGTTTTGCGGTTCGGTATGCTGGGGGTATTCGTTACAATTAGTGATATAACCGTGTTATTCACATTGTTACGGTGTGCATCGGCGCAAAAGGGTCGCTTTGAATCCGACACACGGCGTTTATTATCGCGGGCGAGATGCGCCCGGGTAATCGTTTTCCAGCAGTTTCCATTTTTCCTTATCAGTACCGAGCTCACGTAGTGGTTTCATTCGTCGTAATATTCGCGTTCGCTGAAAACGTTTCTTTTTAGAGTGTAGTTTAGGTTGACCAATATTAGATATCGTACATATATACTTTGATAATCATATAAATTATTAAATATGAGTATATTAATTGGTTGAATAAACTAAGAGAAAACAAACACTAATTACAAAATGATGTATGGTCGAACGTTATTATGTTGTACGTAAACGGTGTGAAGGGAGGGTGGGTAATAATTTAAATTAATATATCGAGTGCGTAAATCACGGACGCTTAATGCTCGTTCCTAGTTTAAATTTTGATTATTCAATTAGTGAAACGACGACATAACCGGCAGAAAATTTGCGTCCTAATTGTAAAATCGAAATAGAAATTACTCCGTAAACAAAAGAGACGGGTTTTATTTAATACAGTGCAGAAAGTACTAGGAATAAAAACTGCGTGTAAATTTCCAAGTAAAGTTATACTCCGATACGCTTGCGCCCCCGGGAAATGTCACACGCAAATCCCTAGGAATTTGTAAACTGACGCAAG